CCAGCATGGCTGGCTGAGGAATTCTGGGAGTTGAAGTCCACTCATCTTAAAGTGGCCAAGTTTGGACAACACTGATCTAGTCTAACTCCCTGCCCAGTCAGTAATACTACTACAGCATCCTTGATAGAGGACCACTTTGCTTGAACAACTCCAGAAAGGAAAAACCACTAACTCCTGAGCTCTGAAATAAAATGGATTTAGAATATTAAAATGAATACAAAGTAAACATTAACATTTAAAAAACCTCAAAAAATTAAAACTTCAAAACAGAAAAAAACTTGAAAGAAAATTTATAAAATAAAAAAAATGAAAATGTTAAAAACTTTACCAGTTCATTTGCTCTTCTATTTTATTTTATTTTTTAAATCATAGCACTCACAGGAATTTCATTGCAGGCTCCACTTCTACAGCATTGGAAACTCATTCTGGGGACGGGACAGTAGTATCAACAGACATTTCCATACGGCACAGTTTTCACTCCATTTTATCTCACAAACCATTTTGAAGCTAACTTCTACCAGACTTGAAAGACTGAGATCACACAGGAAAGACTACAGTCCAATAGTTCTTTGTCCGAGTGACCAACAGAAGAGTTCAAAAACAGAATTCAAGCAATGTCTGCCACCCAGGAGTTTCTGGAGTTCTCATAATTGTGGCTCTGGAGAGCTCACATAGTGTAAAACCCAACCAAACATACACGATAAGAAAATAAGAAAAGTGATGGCTGCTGAGAACAAACCCAGCTCTCGTCACAAAAAAGACACACTCACAGTGACAGGCTCACCTAACCTCCTGACCTCCTGCCTGAGGTGCAGCTAATCAGGTGGCCTGTATTCCTTCCCTAGCATACTGTAGTTAGATTGCAACCAACATTGAGAAAGAATTGGCTTGTACCCAGGAGTTGGGGGGCATGGAGAAGCAAGATCAAAGCCAAAAGAAGCACAGGCTACCCCCCAAGCCATCACATTGCATTGTTCTGCTTTCAGAGAAGACAGAATAGATCCAGACTATTGCCAGTTCAGCCCTTGAAATGAAGAATGTTGCAAGGACAGGCAGGCCGTGAGCTGATTTGGGAGCAGCACAAAGAGGGCCAAGGGAAGGTCTCTCCATTTTGTAAAAATCACCGGGTCTATGTTTCAAAGTTGAAAATGAGCAATTGGATACGCTGAGACTTGATTTGGAGGAGAAGGGGCAGGAAGACTAGATGATGCTCTGGCACATTATGGGCACACTGGAAACCCCAGATCTAATTGCTATTCATCCAGTAAAGTAAGAGGAGGAAGAGCATTTAAAATGCAAATTACTATTCTGGCTAATGTAGATTTCTGGCTGAAGTAAGGACTGTCCAAATGCTGCTGGTCAGCTGCTAGTTTGAAACAATGTGTTTCTTAGCTTCTGAGCAGCCAGTAATTGGGTTAATGGAAAAGTTTTTATAAAATGCAAAACAAGCCAAAAGTCAGCTTGTGCTATTATTTACCCTCACTGATGGTAGAGTCAATATTCATTAGGCCAATTCCACATGATGATTCAACCTTTTTAATGTGTCTTTTTAAAGGTATCAATATATTTTCCAGTGCCAGGTCAATATTTTAACAGAACTACTGAGCAGACTTTCACTGCCATCACAGATTAAACAACTTACATGGAAGAGGTGTGTAGAAGAGTTTTAAAAAAAGGATAACTGGGAAATCTAATCTGTTAAAATGAATCTACTCTTTCACCAAGAAAAAATCAGGAATATTAATGGCCATTGCCTTTCAGCTGTTTTGAAAGATTGATGATGAAACAAGTAGTTTTAGTTCTGACAAGCAACACAAGTAAGATTTGCCTCTACAATAATGCAGGATTGTTTCTTCTGAGTCCAGCCATAGTAATTCGGTGGAAAATGAAGGAAAATGTATTTTGAAGTGGAGGATGCATGGTTTTTCACAGAAGCTGGCTGCCTTATTAACTTACTCTGAGGAGTTCTCAGAGAGAATCATCCGAGAAGGTGGGTGCTCTAGAAAGTCTCCAGGCCTCACTCTGAGCTAAGTATTGGGTTTAGCCAATCTGGGGTTGGGCCAAGGTAGGGGAGCCGGGGGCCAGCCCCTCTCTGTCATCTTTTGCAATAAATCCTGTGAATAAGCTACTTTATTCTTCTAATGGTAGATAGAGATGGCCCTGTTCCCAGGTATTTCTTCTATTGGGGAAATAAAAATGGTCTATGATGGGGACAGCTTTCTTGGCAGCAGTGTCTTGCTTACGGAATTATATCACCAAAGAGATGCTTCTAGCAGCAGCTAGATCTTCTTTTCTTTTCAAGATTTGTGTGCCTGACAACCAGAGGTGCAGAATCTCTGAATAGACAGATCTCATTCTCTTTGCCAGTGCCAGTTGTAAGCATCTCAGGAAAGCAACTGTACCTGAATGCCTGTTTTATAGATTTTATAGATTTCTTGACTTTTAAACTGGATTTACATTTATTTGGGTCACCATTAAACAGATACCTCCAGGAATGTTGGGCTACAACCCAAGCCAGCCCTAGCCAGCCAGCTGGGCTATCTCTCTCTTTCTTATGGTTCTTCTTTTCTTTAACATACATGGAGACTGGATAACTGTTCAAACACTTGGTGTTTCAAGGACAGGATTAGCTTCTGAAAGGCCTTCAAATAGAAGACTGTTCTCTTAAAGAATGACCTATGAATGGCGAGCTAACAAAAGACTGAGACTTGATTCACCAAGGTTGTTTAATTCAGATTTTGTTTGTTTGTTCGTTTGTTTAAATTTATTAGCCACCTAACTCCAATGGATGGTCTCTCTCAAAACACTGGAATCCCTGAACATTCTGCTCTGCAAGGATGTGTGTGCAAACACTTTCAAGACTAATTTTACTGAAGTTCTACTGTGGATCCACTGCTGTTATGGTCAGTGATATATGCAATTTAGAGGCAACAAAACACTTTAATAGTATAACCTTACAATGCAATATGCCAGCAGAAATGTTGTTATAAAAATCTTTCTGGGCATGGGGCTGTATAAAGGTCTAAACATTTTCATAATTGAACAATATAATATTTTTGTACAACCATAAGATGTACTTTTCTAGCAAGTATTGCCCAAATACTTAATTATCAGCTTTGGCAGCTGGGTATATTTCAGCAACTTGAACTTGGCCTTGTGTTTTCTAAGCAAAATTTCTGAATGAAGGTTTTATGCTTCAGGAAAAGATAACTATTATCTCATCATAGAAGCTATTGCTGTCCATGAATTTTGTATCACACTGAGAATGTCTTAGGTACAATAATATGTAATAGTTTAAAAATGATTAAGTAAAAGAATACGGCTCAGCCCAGCACTCTTGAAATTGCAAAATATATTTTGTGGACATTTATATCAGATTTTATTTTAACTTATTTCTTAGAAGTAAATTTCTTCTTTATTCTATCCCCCAGACCCCCTGAAAACTATGTTTTAATTTCTGAAGGACAGTACTATAACTTAATATTTCAGTTAGATATGTCCTTAATTAAGATTTGCAGAACTTAGAATACATCTGTCTCGGATGCTACTATTTACGTGCCTGAATATTCTCTCCTTAAAAAAAAATGTCCACAGACAATGTGTTGCTAGGGGAAAAGTCCTAGGTGAGGTTGACTGAATATCTTATAATCTGATACAGCAGATTTTTATCATTTGAACTTTTTTTTTAAGCCTATTTTTCAAAAGGAGCTAAGCCCTTCTGGAAGAGACATGCATTTTCCTTTGGGAAGCCAATCTGCAAAAGCCCTGATCAGTTGTCATTCTCCAGCAACAGATCCGAATTATACTGCCTTTTCCAAGCAGGACATTTCATTTACAAGACAATTTGGAATATAATAGTATAGTATCCTATATATAATAAATATAATATGTGTTACGGATGATGTATTATGCAATAAATTGCTATGTATATGATCCAGAAATATATATATATTTACAGTACATTAAATTAACAGGTAACACATGTAAATAGCTATGAAATAATTCATAAGGAGACAGGAAGTGGAGACAAAAAAGTAATGCAGGCAAGTGATCTCTCCTGCTTCATTACCATAAGTAAAAAAGCTAACGGGAGGTATCTCCAACGCCATCTAGAATGGCCTTACCTTGCATGCCGGACATGAGAAAGTAACATCAGCAAATTTGCCAGGCGAGTTGTTTGTTGGGGTAAAGGGATCCCACTTTTGGCAATGACCCACACCAAGGCATCTGTCACAGAGTTTAGCAGATGGCTCAGTTTTTTGTTGCTCTCAGGTTCTTCTGTAGCAGATGACAGTGGAAACATGCCTACACAAGGACACCAAAAATCAATGTTAACTTAGGTTAATGTTAGTGCTAATTAGAAATCCCCTTTCCCTCCCTAGGATTAAATCTGAATTAAAGATTATTTAAGAATCTACTTTATACTATTAATCTTCTTGGGTTTATATTGTTTACAGTGAGGAACAGGTTTCCAAGGTTTCAGGTGAGAAATGTAAATGTTCTCAATTGAGCCTGAAGATTCTGAGAACCAAAACTAGAAATCTTTACATGCAGAGCAACTCCAAACCTACTACAACTCTAATAATGTTCACAATAGCATAGCATATTTGGATACCTGGTCAACCAGTTGTCCACAGATTTGGTACCCTGCAAATATAATTATTTTGGTCATTCTACGAAGTCAGCACTGGAAATTTTGAAATGGACTCTTTAAGCTGGTTCTTAAGACCTAGAAATTTCAGGTATTTTTCCATAGTGCAAGACACTTTTAGAGGGTCAACACCAGTAAACTCTTTCCTTACTTAGAAAGATATTTGGTGCATGGGGTTCAAAGCACTGCATTTATGTGGATTTTGAGGTCACCACAATCTATTATTAAACATAGAAACCTGCTTTATATCGGGTAAAGTATTTGATGAGTCTATCCAACCCAGTGTTGTCTACGCTGACTGGCAGTGACTTTTTAGGGTCTAGAAGTCTTTTTCAGAACCCTTTGTTATCTGATCTTCTAAACTGGAGATGCTAGGAATTGAGCCTGTATTCAAATGCATGTATTCAGCTTCATCATATAATGGGATTCCAAGGGGAAAACAAATGACAGTGTTATTATTTTAAACAGTAGCATCCATGTTTATCAAAATAAATATAAAAAGAAATCATTGCAAGTAATGTTGAACAAATCTTTATTGTGCTTTAATGCCAAACATGCATTAGACAAAGCTGTTAAACGTTGCTGAGAACAGACAGCCAAGGCATCCCTGTTAACCTTGAATGAAAAGATAATCCAATGTCCATTCCGAGGCAGTAGCTGTATTAGATGAACTTTCAAATTTCCAAGAACTCTTTCTCAAACAGAAATCCAGAGGAAAGCTGGGGGGTGGGGGAGAGAGAGGAAGGGGGGAGAGTGGCAGGGAAAAAAAGTGGCTTGTGTAATGTAAATGTTCTCAGTGGCTTGTGTACAGTAGCAGGCCAAGTATATGAAAATTGCAAACATGCACACTGGACCTTATCAGGCACCAAATGTACCTGAACAAAGTTTTCCTAACAAGCAGAAACAGTTCTCTCCCATACTTTTCCTCAAACAACCTCTTGGGCCATAATACTGCACAACATGGACCAAAGAAGTAGCTGAAAGGTGATGTGGAATGTCATGTACAGAGCTCCTAACTTTTCAGCTCTGCATTGTAAGCTATGCCTTTGAGATTAAGTCATTAATTAGTTCAGGAAAATCTCAGTTTAAGAGACTAATTGGAGGGAGAGGTTCTGATATTCCCAATTGTCTATTAAATACAAAAGACATAATTTGCATCTGTTTACATAATTCTGCATAGTAATGTGATTTGCATTGTTTTATGATGATGTCATTACACAAAGGACATTTATTACCACAGATTAATTTAAATTTAACTGTCTAACGTGGGCTACTTCAGATGCAGCAGAATGTCCATCATTTTGAGAGGATGACTGGACAGAAATCTGGCCCACTGCATGCGAAGTCCACTAAATGGGTGTCTGTTAAATCAGAGATAATCTTTACCAGACTCTTCCAAATCTCCCTTGCTCATTCCTGAACAGCAAACGAGCCAGACAGACCAATTTCTTTCTGGTTAGATGGCAACCCTAGTTACATAAACAAACATGCATTGGGTAGGCTGCTTTTTGATGTGCTGATAGCTGAGACGCTTGCCCTTTCAACTGTGAAAAGTGAGAAGCAAGAAGAATAAAGAAATGACCTCAGCTGCTGCAATTTATAGGTATCACTTTAGGAGTCAGCTCTACAGAGCTTAGAATGGGATGGCAGATTGGCTGTTCTCCAGGCAAGTAAAATGAGGTGTCAAGGGTTTGGCTTGTTTAGTAGCTGTGAGGTCAGTTAGACCTACACTGGCACTTCAAACACTGTGATGCAAAGGTGGAGAAGTTATCTAAAGCTATTCGGGACAGGAATTGGCACACAGCTATGCATTTGCTAGGCAAGTCAATTTATTTATATATCTTTGTATTCTCCTGTCTCTCTTTCAGACACGTACAGATACAACAAACCCAGAAGCTATTTACGTGGCCAACTGAATTGCTCTTCATTCAGATCGATTTAATGCTTGTGCCCATATATTTATAAGGAGGTTTATAGTGCAGTAGAGGGAAATATACCTCATAAATGCACCTGGATTGCTAAGAGACTTCTTAGAGATTTAAGTGTTAGAGACATGGAAAAAGCAACTGAAACCTAAAGAATGCCAGCCTCAGTGACTAACAGGAACATATTTCTAATCTCTCATTGCTAAAACAAACAAAAAGAATAATGAGGCACCTCAAAGACTAATAAATCTGTTACTTTGTAAACCTCCATGAAAATTTACACAAGAATCAATTTATTAGCGATAGGATGCCCCCAAACGCTGTCTTGTTTTAACAGCATATTAAATGGGTGCTATTAAGTGTATATATTTACTGAACTCAGCTACTGATGCAAATGTATCTCAACCTTCCACCTTTTTTTTAGTGGTCACATTTATGCTATATCTAGGGAGTTAATGGGTAACATTCCATGCCTTTGAAAGGCAGAATTCATGGAGAATGCTTTCTCCATTACCTTTTTGTTTCTGCGCCTCATACAGCTGTTCATAAAAAGGTGAGCCATGTTTTAGTATCCAGAAATTCCATTAGTTTTAGTATCATTTTCAGTAGCTAGAACAGGTGAAAAACTATATGTTTTTGTTTGTTTGAGGTACCTAACTAGCACTTCAAATTGCACTGAGAAGCTGACTGGCAGTCAATGCAACTCCCAGAGTAAAGTGTTACGTAGGCAAATCAAGATGCACCCAACATTGTACAGGCTCCTGTGATGAACCAGTCTGAGCTTCTTAGTGGCTTTCAAGGACAGCCCCATGTGCAGCGAATTGCAATAGTCCAATCATAAGGTGACAAAAGCATGAGTGACAATGCAAAATGACTCCTGTTCCAAGAAAGGTTGCAACTGGCATGCAAGATCTGCTCCTCAGGAAGGGGCTACAAGTCCAGAGGAATTCTCAGATTGCCAACTAGCTATGTACAGGAGAGCCTGACCCCTTCCGGAACTATAGGTGAACCACCTCTGGAGTCAGAAGGGCTTCGTACCCTCAGCCACTCCACTGAAAGTTCTGCCTAAGTCTGTTCCTCCTTATCCAGATCCTAACAACCTCAGATACTAAGTCAATATCTCTAACACATCATCTGATTGGCCTGTATATAAATATAAAGCTGGTATCATCAGCATAACAAGGATACCTTACTGCATGCTGATGAATTATCTGACCCAACAGTTTCATGTAGATATTAAATAGTAAGGGAAAAAGAGATAAGCCCTACAACATTCCATAACTGAGTAACCATGGATTCAACCTCTCCCATTCCATTAATTGGAACTGACCATTCAAGGAGGAGGATCAACACAAAATTGTGCTTTGCAGAATGATGCCCTGGGTTGATGGCATTAAAAGCTGCTGACAATTCAAGCAAAATCACACTCTTATGCCAGTCTTGCCAGAGGTCATCAAACACAGTGACCAATATGGCATTGGTCCTGTATCCAGGCTTGAATCTTGACTGATAGGAATCTAGGTAATCCTTTTTTTTCCAGAAGTCTTTGTATTTGTAAGCTCCCCACTTGCTCCACCAACTTTCCTAAAAAAGGAATATTGAATCCTGGAAGATAGATGTCCCAGAGGATAACTGATTTGAGAGATGGCTTCTTGACAAGGGGACGCAGCTGATCTTGCATGCCTCTGTCAAGGATGAATTCACTGCCTCTTGGACCCAGCCTCCTATTACCACCTTGGCCACTTTAACTAGCCAAGTGGGACAGGAATCCAATCTACGGGGAAAGTAAATTTACGTTCCCCTGCACCAGAAGCCTGGAGGACACCTACACCAGCCCTGCAATAAGGGCCAACAGTTCAGGTGGGGATGCAGCAGGGAAAACAGTACAACAGCAGCACTCCCAGCCAATCCCTATGCTCCAACTTCACATAAAAGACCTCACACCCAGTCATCTGTGGAACAGCACCTCTGATGTGCAGGGTGTTCTGAATGACAATCACCACTACTCTCTTTACCCTGAATTATCACTAGTGGGGCACCCCCTCTCCCCTTTGCCGAGCCCACAAAATTTCAGGCAAAAACACTGACATTTCAGGAGATTTCACAAACTCATGAGGTTTCAGTCATTTAACGTTTTTCTATTACATTTAATGTATTTTTAGGATTCTGTGGATGCTACTATGAGAGTGTGTTGTGCATACAATGGCATCTGCAGGCACTGTAAATGACACTATGCTCAGTCTAGCCAAAAGTCTAGCTGTTTGTTTCATGCTAAGAATTAGCAGGATATCACACTTCGAAAGTCCATGGACTTTGTCAGCAGCATGTTCGGGGAGACTCTGAATCTTTCCAAAATGTGGGTCGGTGGCTACATATGGCCCACAAAATACAATGACCTATTCCTCTTTTGAAGTCATATAGATTTTGGGGGGATGGGAAGGGGATAAGAGGGAGATCCCTAAGTTATTTATCAACACGCATTTCTTTATTCTTGGTAACAAGATCTGAGAGAAGACATTATCTATCCCTTCTTTTCAAAATTCCAGTAAAAAAAAATTATCCCGAAGGGTAGAAAAGTTGCTATTCTTAATGTGGCTAACTATCTACTTACAAACCATAGACTAAGATGGATATTTCAGAATGCACGAACATTAAAATTTAATTCTTTTTAAAAGTTCAATACGAATTAATATCAATAATTCTACAATTGTATAAATTTAAATCATATT